AAAGAAACTGAAACAGAGAAAAACAGTGAACGGGGTCGCCTCTCCACAGATCTGACCTATACCTTGGTCTGTATTGGTCTCCATGAAGATAGAAATGTTTAATACCATACTGTGAAACATTCCAGCCAAAACAATAACATTTCCATGGAGGCAAAGCATTTGATGGACCCTCCTCCAGAAAAGTCACACACCTTTAAAGAATACACCTGCATAACGTAATATATGCAGTATTTTATTTTTTTTAAATATTCCAATACATGGCCTAAAGTACTGCATTCTGTATTTTTTCACTTTAAACTGCATTATAATATCGTGTAAAAACAGCTTTATTTTCTTTTCATTGTTTATTATGCATTTATTTATCACTAGATAGAGAAGGAGAAATCACTATGCATGCAAAATAAGAGCTGTTTTTTTTTTCAGATACCATGAAGTAGGAAGCATAAATTGCACGATAAAGTACCACAATGTATTTGAAAATATTTAAGTGGCTGTCTGTAAAGGGAAAAAGTTCTGTCCTTGCGCCCTGATGAAAGTAATGTTGGCCAAAAAGCAGTGGTGCGTATGTTTTTAACCTTAACAGCCAAAATGCAATAAAGGCCTTTTAACTTCTCTAAAGACGGAATGCTTTGGGGTTTTGTTGTCTGTTTTTCTGTACGCATTTTTGAGATTTTACCCCACAGACAAGCATCTAAATGTTTTCAAGTTAAAAAGGAGTACTCTCCAAAGAGCACCTGTGTACCTGAACTATACTAGTACTGACGCAGCACTTTTCGTTGTAATGGAGCAAGCGTAACTTAGGCTGGAAGACCTAATTTCGGTCCATCTACCTAACAGCTTCTCCAGAGTTTACCTGCTCCTCAGCCTTCATCACCTCACTCTAAATACACCTCCTCCTCGTCCATTCAGCTCCCAGTCTGCCCAATTTAAACCCCCATCTCAGGTAAACAACAACTTTGTTTTGTGCCACGTCCAACCTCCTCCCGAGACCCTCCTTGGTTTTACATCATCTCATCGTCTCCTTCACTCTCCTCTTCACTCTCCTCATCCTCTCACCGTCGCCTTCACTCTAATCATCTTCTCACCGTCCTATTCACTGTCTTTGTCCTCTCATCTTCTCATTCACTTTCCTCATCTTCTCATCGTCGACCTCACTCTCCTCCTCTTCTCATCGTCTCCTTCTCTCGCCTCATCTTTTCATCCTTGCCTTCACTCCCCTCATCCTCTCATCATTTCCTTCACCCTCTTAATCCTCTCATCGTCCCCTTCACTCTAATCATCTTCTCATCGTCCTCTTCACTCTCTTTGTCCTCTCATCTTCTCATTCACTTTCCTCATCTTCTCATCGTCTTCTTCTCTCTCCTCATCCTCTTATCGTCGACCTCACTCTCCTCATCTTCTCATCGTCTCCTTCTCTCTCCTCATCTTTTCATCCTTGCCTTCACTCCCCTCATCCTCTCATCATCTCCTTCACTCTCCTCATCTTCTCATCGTCCTCTTCACTCTTTGTCCTCTCATCTTCTCATTCACTCTCCTCATCTTCTCATCGTCCCATTCACTTTCTTCCTCCTCTCATCATCGCCTTCACTCTCCTCATCCTCTCATTGTCGCCTTCACTCTCATCGTCCCCTTCACACTCCTCATCCTCTCATCGTTTCCTTCACCCTCTTCATCATCTCATCGTCCCCTTCACTCTCCTCATCCTCTCATCGTTTCCTTCACCCTCTTCATCCTCTCATCGTCCCCTTCACTCTCCTCATCTTCTCATCGTCCTCTTCAATCTCATCCTCTCATCGTCTCCTTCACTCTCCTCATCTTCTCATCGTCCTCTTCAATCTCATCCTCTCATCGTTTCCTTCACCCTCTTCATCATCTCATCGTCCCCTTCACACTCCTCATCTTCTCATCGTCCTCTTCACTCTTTGTCCTCTCATCTTCTCATTCACTTTCCTCATCCTCTCATCGTTGCTTTCAATCTCCTCATCCTCTCATCGTCGCCTTCACTCTCCTCATCTTCTCATCATTCCCTTCACTCCCCTTCACTCTCCTCATCCTCTCATCATCCCCTTCAATCTCATCCCCTCATCGTCTCCTTCACTCTTCTCATCCTCTCATCTTCTCATCGTCCCTTTCAATCTCCTTGTTCTCTTACCGTCCCCTTCACTCTCCTTAACTTCTCCTTATCGTCACCTTCACTCTCTGCATCCTTTCATCATTCTCTTCACTCTCCTCATTCTATCACTGTCGCCTTCACTCTTCTCATCTTTTCATCATCCCCTTCAATCTCCTCATCCTCACTTTTGAAACCTTCAGTGCCCAGACCCTCGGTGAGACAGACAGTGACACATCTCCTAAACATCATTTAACTGGCCACACCTTTCATCGCAATGTCTTCCTCTAATAATTTCTCTTTCTGTCTGTTTTAATCTCTCCAGGTTGAATAAATTTTTAATTCTCGTCTTAAGACCCGCTTTTATTCTCTGGCTTTTAACACTGAGTGAGTTGTGTTGTTCTCTGTGTCTTTTATTTACTCTTTATTGGTTTTATTTATTTATTACTATTCTGTGCTTTTGCTCTTATTTTATTTTACTGGTTTTATTATTTTAAGACTCGTATGATTAAATCTGAGCGTTTATTTCATCATTATATTATTATTGTTGTTGTTATTATTATGTATTTGTGCAGCACTTTGGAAACCGTTTCTGAAATGTGCTATATAAATAAAGTGGATTGGATTGAAAGCAACTATTTTCTATATTATACCCCCAAATGAGAACTAAGTCAGTGCATTTACTGCAAAAAAAATTGCATTCAGAAAATATTTTTGGTACTTCAACTTTCCAATACTGGTTCCAAGCTATTAGCTGCATAAACTTTTCAATATAGAAAACATAAATATGAATCACAGTGTTATTAGAGGAGGCTTGAAAGCACAAAAGCATCTCTTCTATAATAACGATAACAGTAGTTGCTCCATTCGGCTTGAGTACAGCTCCATATGAATGTAATCTATATTGATCTGATTGTGGATGTGACTGGCTGCAGAGCTGAGCCTCGGGGGACATTAAACCTGATGACTGTTCTTCTCTGTGTGTGGCTCCCTTTTGTGGCCCTATTGTTGTATCGAGGCTTTTGACAGGCGCTCTGCTCAGTCACATTCATATTCATCTGTCACGTCTTTATGCCACTCCAGAAAGCACTAAAAGGATCAGCACAGACGGCGTCATTATTTCAGCCACGATTTAAAGGAAAATTATAACTCAAAGAAAAGACAATTTTGTGGATATTTGTGCACAGTGAGAAGCTTCATTCACGAGTTTTGCTTCTTTTGTAAATGCATAAATGTATTTTTTTTCTCCTTGGAGTTTATTATAAAAGCAACAAATTGACTAAATCAAAATTGTTAATCGTTTTGTATGTCAAGCCTAGAGCATAGAGAAAAATCCCGCACATAGTCTTACGTGCAAATTGTGAGATTTATAAGGACATACAATGTTTCGGCACTAGACCGCCATCAGGCAAATAGAGTAAGAGCTCAGGTTTCCATCTTAAACGGGGTGTGGCAAGCACCCAAAGGTGAGGTCGTACAGGAATAGCGTGCCCAAAACAACAGAATTCAAAATATAAACGCAATCAACACATATATAGTGTAATATAACTCAATGTACCGTATTTTTCAGACTACAAGGCACACCGGATTATAAGGCGCAATATCAATAATGTTGAATTCCCTCATCTATTTCCATACATAAGGTGCACCGGATTATAAGGTGCATTAAGCAAAACAAACGGACGGCACTTGAAACTGATCCATTAGCCCAGGCGTCCACGATCCATTGGCAGATCGTGGCGTAATTCGCCCGGTGTTGCCTCCCTGTCTTGGTGAATGTGTATTATGAATGTGAATGTGAGTGGATAATTTAAGTTTGCTTTTTTAAAATTTCCTACGAGGAGGACTCAAATATACATTGAGTAATAATTAGTTTAATGCAGCTTCGTGAACATTTGTTTTCGTTTTACAGAAACTTACAACCACACTGTCCTTGCGCGATGATGCGATTCTTTGACAGAGGATGTGCTGCAGATGGTGAGTCTGTTCTGTGCTTCTATCGTGTTGGAGATTGTTCATGATAAAACCTTTCACAGATTATACTCAGCAGATAGTCCATAAATCGGAGCGGCTTCGTAGCTTACCAAAATCGTACTAAAACATTTTGACAAATTTTTGAGCGCAGTGTACCACATAAAATCAGTTCAAGGTCAGTAAGCACAACCAGAATTAATACATAAGGCGCACCGGATTATAAGGCACACTGTCGATTTTTGAGAAAATAAAAGGATTTTAAGTACGCCCTACTGTCTGACGATATAAAATTGATTTATATTACACTGTATATGTGTTGATTCTCTCTTCTTGAGCTGCTGCTCTCCACCAACACACCTGTTTCAAGAATTTGATGTGCTCATGTTCTCTTCTTTTTTTTTTCCTTTTTCTAAATCAGCTACTGTAGTTCAAAAAACATTATATAAACAGTGAGGCCACGATAATTACTATATGGATGTCGATATGGAACGATTCACTCCCAAATTTCTTGTTTTTTTGTTGGCTGATTTGAGCACTCATATATTTTATGACTGTAATATACTGGCCATTGTTTTTCCAACTTGACAAGTGGAAAATATAGAAAAATCACTCCGACTTCCCACTTCTGAGGACAACAAGAACATAGCATTTGTGTTTGTGTGTGTGTTTGTGTGTGTGTGTGTGTAGATGCAAGACAGACACTGGGTTCAAACAGCCAGCAACAGCCAAGCAGAGCAAAAACATGCAAAAAAATAAAACAAATGCGGATGACGATGAGAAGGGGGAAACCAAAGAATAAGTAGCATGGAGAAAGTGGACTTAGTCAAACCAATACTGGGGGTTGTGTTCGGGGGTTAGTTTCGGTGATGAAAAATTGGAACAGAAGAAAAGACTGTGCGTGGGAAGCAATAATCACCTTCGCTTGGGATGACTAGAATGTACGGCGTTGTTATTTGTCCCCTACCTATTACCACTAAGACCAAGGGCCCGTCAGTCGCCGCCGGAGAGCCAGAGAAAAAAGACAGAGAAAGAGAGAGAGGAAAAACAAACAACAACAAAAAAGGAAGGAAAAAGAAAGAAGAAAATAGGCTAAGAAAAAAGAACTGTTTCCATTGGACCTCCTGGAGAGAAATTATACTGGTGAGACATAGCACGGAACAGCATCAATTAAGAGCAATCCTAAACGCAAGATGGAGGAGAGCGGAGATGTGGTCCGAGTGTGGTGGATGTGACAGTTTTAATGCTATGGCCTGTGGTAAGCTGAGTTTGGAGAAGTGGTAGCCAAACAGAATCAAAAGAAGGGTCGGGAAAATCAAAACAGACAGATGAGGGTTAGTGAAAATGAAGAATGAAGCGTAAAGAAAAGGACTGAACTTTGGCAAACTCATTCACTCGGAAATTGTTAAATGATTCTTTACAATGACGAGACACAGACAGCCACAAAGGTTTAGTAATAGACGTAATGGATCTTGGACCAAAAGGATGTAATTTGGATCTCAGACTAAGAAATGCACCATTATAAAATCAAGCTTTCGCCAAGTGCTTCTGGTTATTTTAGTATTTGGTGAATTTCTTTCTAAAACTAAACTTGAAGATGCATTAGGGAACTTTTCAGAGGGTCCATAGACGTATAATTAGTAGACGCTGCGTACAATGCTCATGCTCTCAACCACTTACAAACTCGACTAGAAGATTTTAGAACATTTTAGGGTCCAGTCCCCTGAATTTTTCCTATAGCTATTTCCTAATAGTCTGATTCATCAGCTGGTTTTACTTCGTACAAGCCATCTGACCTCACAGCCTTAGATTTCGTTCACTCGATGTTAGGCGAGTACTTTTTATCATTTAACCAATCGCTGCTATTTGGTTGGTTGTAATGCGCCACTAACGGGGCTAACTGGTATTTTAAGCTTTTCCCAAATCCCGTAGGAAGAAGGGCAATAACTTCTTTCCCCTTGATAAAATTCACCAAACATTCTCTTTATTCTGGCTTTAAATCCTCGATCTCGGGAATTGTTGACACCACTGAATATATGGCTCTTCGCTGATTGGCTGGTGCCCGGACCTGCACTTCCGGGGTTTTTGCGAACTGTCTAGTGTATTCCGATTTCTGACCTAGTCGCTGGAGAGAAAAGAAATTGAGCGGAGGCACTAGGTGGCGCCAGCCTGGCTAATTTCCTAAACTTTTGCCTTCAAAAATTGCATAAACTATGATTAATGAAGAGGGAAGCGGCTGGTAACAACCCATCAACCACATTAAAGCCTCTCTAAAAGTCATTAATGAGTGGATGAACTTTGTGCTGTTTTATTTGATATATAATTAGCGTGTAAAACTAGCATCTGAGCTAAAAGTTTCCTTACTTGTGTGCTTCTGGTGAGCCTCCAGTGAGCACTAAACCTCCTCTTTTATGTGTTACTGGTGAGGAGACCAGATAAATTATAAATTATATCATGAAATAAACTATTTATATGCTTCATTATGAAGATTGGCTTCACTATACACGTGTATGTTGTTTTTAATTAGATTATGTTTTTAGTTTATTGTTTGTTTTTATTTAGTTAATTATGTTCTGTAGCACTTTGGTCAATGTGTGTTGTTTTTAAAATATGTTATATATAAAGTTCCAGTTCCAATTGCAGTATGTGGTGGAAGGTTCGATTTGATGCAACTCCGAGTAGCACAAGGTAGCCAAGTGATCAAGTTATAGCAACAGTTAGATAAGATAATTTTTCGTCTGTGAATATCTATGCGAGGGTCAGTCACGTTTTTGTCTCCATGGAGAAGTTATTGCATTGCGTAGAAGGTTAACTATGTGATATTGGACTTAAAGCTGCATTATGTACATTTATATTTCTAAGGTTATGTCGTTGATCTGCCTGGACTGTTTCACAGTATAAACAGGTCTACCTTACATTTATTCAATTACAGGTGGTTTTATAGATCATAAATACCTAGAAAAACAGGCATTTTGGCTGTGAGCAGGCTTGCCTTTCCACAGATCTGACTTGTAACTTCGTTTGATTTGGTCTCCATGAAGATAGAAAGGTTTAATACCAGACTATGAAACATTCCAGACAAAGCACAAACATCTCCATGGAGAAGAACATTTGATAAACCCTCCACCAGAAACGTTACACAACTGCACTTTTAAAACAGCATTTAAAAAAATAACCGCTTTAAGCACAATATTAGATATAAAATAATAGTCTGAACCTAATCTCATTCAAAGTACTTTTTTTTTTTCCTTTTATTTTTCAGTTTTATGTATTGGACCCTGCAACGAAGTGTAATATTTCTGATGCCTAGCCCTCGCCCACAGCCCCCTCCTACAACCAGACAGGAGCCACAGAACGGAGATAAAGACGAGAAAATGAACTCAAATGAGCAGCTAACACTTGAAACAAATTACAGAAGATAGACGGAACAGAGATGCGGAAAAGTCAAATCAATGATGCAAAAGAACGAGGGAGGAGGAGTGGGAAATCAATACTGAACTCAAAGGCTTTCAGAGCGCAGTGGCCGGACGGTGGACAAATGGTGGACTTGCCGGGGATGATCGGCGGATAAAAACGAGAGGGACATGGGGAAGGCATAACTTAAAGGTGCATTGTGTAACTTTTCTGGTGCAGCGTCCGTCACCTGCTTGTCTCCATGGAGATGTTACTATTTTGCCTTAATTATGCTACAGTATGGAAATAAACTCTGTAATCACAATGGAGACAGGTTAATGGTTAGATCTACGGAGAAGTGAGCCTGCAAGTGGTAAAAAAAAAATAAAAATCAGGTATTTTTGAGCTATAAAAACACCTGTAAGTGAACAAATGCAGCGGAGGTATGTTTAATGCCCTACTGTGGAACATAGTAAGGCTGCTCGATTATAGAAAAAAAAATTATCACAATTATTTTGGTCAATATTGAAATTGCGATTATTCAAATTATTATTTTTTAGTTACATGATGCATTTATTCAGCATTTCTATCTTTCAAAATAAAACAAAACAAAATTATGTTATGTTATTGATAATTTACGCAAAACTTTCAAAGTGAAAATAAATTTAGGCTACAAATATGTATCTTAGAACAGTTTTGCGATGTGTAAAACTAAAAAATGAATAAAATACACTTTGAACATGAAATAAGGCATAGAAAAACATAAATGTATCCAAAATAAACTATATATCCAGCTGTTCTACAATCTCTACATTTAAATATTAAAATAAATAGGGGTGTTACAGTACCCAAGTCTCATGACACAGTATTGTCACGGTATGAACCTAACGATACGATATTTATTGTGATATCGTGGGAAAGCTCACGATATGGTGGGGAGGCTCACGATTAGGGATGTAACAATATCTAAATATCTCAGTAGGATATTTTCATGATATAAATCTCACAATACACTATTTATTGCAATATTTTGTAGAGGCTAAACACCTAAAAACTGTTAATATGCTGCTTTTTCCTCTTAAAATGCCTTGACAAGACTTAATCCAAAGAACTAACACTGAAAAGTGCTTAGAACTGTTATTTCTTCATATAGTTTACACTGAAATGGAGCAAAAGATCATGGTCTATGTAGTTCCCTCTGTCTTTTTTCTGTCTTTTTTTTAGCTATTGCTGCACCATAACTCTTAATTTAAGCAAAGAGACTTGTAATTCGATATATTGTGATGGTCCACGATATTATTGTGAGAACTCTGATGATACGATATCACGATATTTCGGTTATTGTTACATCCCTAAAAAGAAATATACTTATTTATATAAAAGATATCCCAAAATAAACTATGATAGGCTTTATCGTATTAACTCGATTACATGAGTTTGGAAATTGTTCGACACACAAATTGAAATCGTGTCAAAATTCGATTAATTGCACAGCTTTAGAACATAGGCAAAGAAATAACATCTCCGTGGAGACAAGCACGTAGCGGGCCCCCCAGTTTAGAAGTTGCACAGTGCATCTTTAAAGCGCTCTGAGGATTTTAGAAGAGGGAAATAGTCTGTAGGAAATGATGAAGTGAAATACGATATGGCTTATGAGTATTAAATAACATCTCCATGGAGACGAGCAAGTACCTCTACCTTAGAAGTTACACAGTGCACCTTTAACGCACACGCTCTCAGGGTTTTAGAATAGAGAAAAGGGCAAACAGCTCGATGAAGTGAAATATGATATGATTCTTAAGTATTAAAGAGGCTCACAAAAGTAGATGTTAGTGAGATATATGGTATTGTGCAGTGGACATTGCGGGAGTGGTTTTCAATTGTTATCAAAGTCACAACGAAAGACACACAAGTCACAACTATGCAATTATTGTGTTGAAGGGTCTGCCGCAAGCTTGTTTCCATGGAGATGCAAGCCCTTGCCTGGAATACTTCAAAGTTATGGCAATAAATCTCCGTGATAACAAACAGGTTATAGTTAGGTCAAGTTACAGGTCAGATCTTTCTATGTTTTTTATGTTTTTGTGCATATACATTTATATATTTATGCCTAATTTGACACCTGTCTGTTGTTATTCTTACTACTTATTTTGGATTTTTTTTATCACCATTTATATCTTTGCTCTTTGTTATTATCTTTTATTGTAATGTGTGAGCTACTGTGTCCAAATAATTTCCCTTGTGTATTTTATTTTTGAGCAATACAAACATGTAATTGGAATAATGTTGGATAGACAAGTTTAAATTAATGCTTTAATTAATTCCAGGCAATGTAATGACTTCTGGAGACAAGTTGGCGGCGGACCGATCCATAGTGAGGATTTAAATGAGCGTCAATGGAGGAATGATCATACCTTTGTTAGCCAGGCGGACGCAGTTGATTTTGGTTTCCTGTGAAGACAAAAAAAACAACAATATCACATTAGTAAGAATTTGGAGGGAAAATACAGAACTTGCTAGATATTCATAAGCATATAAGCAATGTAAACAACTACGAAGCCCAACAGTTGACGTCCTCTTCATTTTCCCTGTAGACTTTTTGAATATTAAGACAGAGTCGACCCAGCTATGTCATGGATCCATTAAAATAACTGGATAGAGTATTGCTGTTTGTAGCTGCCTCCAGTTGACGTAGAACTACAGCGGAAAAAAAATCACCTGGGCTGAGAAAATATTTTTCTCACAGAGCACAATGTCATCACAAACTGCCCGTGTTCGTCTCACAGGGCACCAACAACTTTCAAAAATGTCGGATGTTTTACCTATTTTTAGATCATAAACTGTTTCTCAGCTCAAAATCCGCTTTATAATCGTTAGCTCCGGCTCCGCTCTGCTCTAGCTCCTCTCGCTCTGATTGGTCAAAGCGATCAAATGATACACAAGACCATGCTCCGTGCTTGCGTCCATTGGTGTGAGAGAGAAAAGAGCAGTACTGCACATGTCCAATCGGCCCAGAGCCACTGGAAGTACCTCGCCGGGCTAAAGGCTAATCTGAAGTCATGCGCCATTGAGCTCGGCCCATTGACTTGAATGGGCGGCCATTTTGATACCCCGAGGCTTGAGCTATGCCCATAAAGCAGTTGATTTAAAGGTGCACTGTGTAACATTGAGTGCAGTGCTTATCTCCACAGAAGTGTTATTGCTTTGTCTGGAATATTCCACAGTATAGTACAGTATTAAACCCATTTATCACAACAGAAAAGCAGGTTATAGCTACATTTTAATTCAGACCTGTGGAGAGTCGTCCCTATTCACAGAAGGAATTACTGTATTTTTGAGCACTAGAAACAACCGTAATAAATAAATGCTAGATCAGGGGTCTCCAACCTGGAGCTCGGGAGCTACCAGTAGCTCTCCACCCCCATCCAAGTAGCTCTCCAAGGGATTTCTGAATGCCTTGGAGAGCTACAACACTCACGTATTGTCCTGAATAAGTAAAATTTGATAAACTAAATGCCTTTTATCTTTTTGATGTCTAATTTTGTGCACTAATAAATGGATAATGGTTTATTTATAGGTTTATACCTAACTGTACCTCATTTCAAGCTCGCCATGACACTTAAATATACTCCATTTCTTGTGACTGCTAAAACTAGTAGCTCTCTGGCATTTTTGTTTTGTAAATTGAGCTCACCTGAGAAAAAAGTTTGGAAACCCCTGTGCTGGATGGATATGTTTAATGTCATACCATGGAAAATTTCAGGCAATAACATCTCCATGGACACAAGTAGGTGGTGGACCCTCTACCACAAAAGTTGCGTAATGCACCTTTAAGATATAAACCACTAAACAAAAAACACTTAAAAAAAAAACAACTTAAATTTCACCAAAAAAGTTCTAAAGACTAGTTTTAAAAGGAATTCAGAAACAGATTTGAGATAAAAGCTGGTTTTGTTCTTAGTTACCACCTTTATTAGGCCTCCAACATGTTTTTTTGTTTTGTTTTTTATTATGTATTTCTTTTTGAAAAGTCTGGCGGAGACGCTTTGGAGCATCACATTCCACAGACACTTTCAATATTCCAGAGCCAGTTTCCTTCTCTCATTCTTGTCCAGTCTTCTCCTCCACCCTCTGGTCCCTAATTTTGCAGCCATCATCTGTCTCCTCCTCAAGCATCTTTGGAGAGTACTATATCCAGCTCCTTTCATTCCTGCTCTGGCCCTGTCTCCTGCTCCGCTCTGCTCCATGAGGCTGTCACTCTGATGTGCACTCAGTGTCTTCCACAGATTGCCTTCTTCACCTGTCGCCCCATTTGTCTTCATCAAACCAAACGGCTGAGGTGGCTGTCATTTCACACATCAGAGTACGATCAGGGACAATGTACAGGCTTTATGCTTCTCTATATTTAGATCAGGCTGTCAGGTGGAATTAAAACTGCTGGCAATTCAAACAAATCTGGTGACGGAAACGTAACCCTGTCAGTAAAGTCTCACGGATAGTTCTTAACAATATAAGTAACACATAAAAAGATAAGATACTTTATTGATAAAGAAGGAAATTCAAATTTACAGTTGGCATTGAATTGGCATTGTTAGTATTTAAAAAACCTGGACATTCGTGATGTGATGACAACTTCCAGCGGGCTCTGTTCACGGTAGTAAGTCTGACAAAATCTAGAACAAATTAGAAAATGGCCCAGTTTCTTCATCTATGTGTCATTGTAGTGTTCGTTCCGTTATCTTCGGCTAATCAACAATTACAATCGTACCTCAGTTTTCAAAATTTCCCCACTGACACCCAACTCCGAGCACATTGGGTACATGCAATTAGAAGAGATGAGGTGCCAAATTCAAGATTATTCCAAATAGCACATACTAGGAATGCAATAATAACTGAAATATTGTGATATTGTATCGTCAATAGTCTCACCATCATACCATCATTATTAGATTGGTCCAACCCGGCCATATTACATTTTCGTACTTCAACAGTAGATGCTGTTTATGTAACGTTACTTCTGTCTGAAGACCAGAGAGCACAGGTGAGCCTGAACAAAGCCCTGGTAAGGGGAGGGGGTTCACATCTCACATCTCTACTGCAGAAAAAAAAAATAATAATAATTAAGGGATAGGAAAAAGAAAAGAATACACTTGTTTCTATATAATTAACAAAATTATGTGGAAACAGGTTCTTAAACAAGATGACTTCTGTAGTTTTGTTGGCATGACTATAACAAGATAACAAGTGTTACGTGGCTGTGTTTGCTGTATGCTCCAGCTTTGTCCGGTGAGTGGGTGTACTGTCCCTGACATGCACCAGAGCCATCTCTGAGTGAAGTTAAAGGAGCAGAAAATGTCTGAGCACAAAATGTCTGGATGATGGATGAGGAGGCGCTGTACATGACTGACCACACACCTGTCTGAATCACACTGTTCATCTGTGGACAGGCGTTACATGCACACCTGTGGTGTACATATTGCCTTTTTGATTGTGCTACTCGTGTAACTGGATTTCATTTTCAGTACATTTACTCATTTAAAGGTTATGCTTTGGTTATGGTTATGTCTATTTACATTTCTTTGAATGAACACTGTCATGTAAGCAGAGGTGGGCACTGTCAGTGCTGTATAAATGATGCACCCTGGGGCTCACACACTGTCCCTCCAGAGTCCACTGTGTTGTGTCCACATGTGTCCTCACTGTCCTATTTACAGCTGTTTACAGTCTGAGGACACAGAGCTCATGCTAATGACCCAGGTCTCAGGAGGAGGGTGTGTGAGGCAGAGAGTGGAGGAGCTGGAGAGAGCGAGGAGGGTCTGTGTCTGTCAGTAGCTTTTACAGCACTGGTGTCCTATCTGGCACTGTCCTTACGATGATTCTCCCTACAGCAAACAGAGCATGTGGTGAAAGGTGTCCTAGAATCTGACTCCAGCTTTGTTAGCTCAAGTTTTTAAAATGCAAATATTTTTCAGAGATATCTACGAGTGCAATTGTAACACTTACTCACCAAACTGACTGACAGCAGCAAATGAAGCAGAGGATTGGACTTTGGGAGCTCTGCAGACCAGTGTTTTTGTTTTTTGTTTTCCCCATAAATCAAATACAATGTTTAGATCAATGGGGAAGAAAGCCTGCATATAGTGATAATTTATGTTTTTCTGTGCAAAGAACTATCATCATCATGGAAACAAGCAGGTAGCCATCCCTCCACCTTAGAAGTTACATAGTGCAACTTTAACCATGAAACATTATGAATTAAATTAAATGTTGAAAAGTAAAAAAATTATGTGAGTACATTCTTTAATTGTTGTTCAAGGTGAGCAGACTTGAGGGCAAAAATGGTCTACACCTTTTAAATGTGCCCCTAATGTGTGTTCTGCCAAGAGTTGCCAGCCTCTTTATGGGCGAGTGCATTGTGGGAAATCAGGAGGAGATTAGATCATGGCATTGGAGTTACCGTGGTTACAGCGGTGGAAAATTAACACAATCCTCGGTGGGTTAAGACTTATGGAAATTTTAAAAAGATGAGATCGGGTTTGGAGAGAGAGAGAAAGAGATGGAACAAGGCAGTGGAGGCTCTTTCAGGCATTTTCTTTAATACCTATGCTGAACCGTGAACCGTGAGTAAATAGAAATCAAAGGTGGAAAACAACACAGTAAAAACCCTAAATGAAATTGGAATGGGGTGGACTATACAGCAAAAAAATTATATTGACTGAATTCTTTTTGAAAACCTAATTTTCAATACTGGTTTCATGAACAAGATAAACATATTTAGTGCCATTTAACATAAAAAGTAGCTCAATTTATTCCTGTATTTACCAACAGAGGATCGGATGAACACTTGGGTTCGGCAACAAAAATTAAATTGTGATCTAATCCCTGTGACAATTTTCTATTTTCTTTAAATAATAGGGATGTAACAATAACTGAAATATCATGATATCGTATCGACAAAGTTCTCACAATATATCAAATCACAAGTCTCTTTGCTTAAATTAAGTGTTATGGTGCAGCAATAGCTAAAAAAAAAAAAAGACAGAGGGAACTACATAGACCATGATCCTTTGCTCCATTTCAGCGTAGACTACAAGAAGAAATAACAGTTCTAAGCACTTTTAAGTATTAGTTCTTTGGATTATGTCTTGTCAAGGCATTTTAAGAGGAAAAAGTAGCATATTAACAGTTTTAGATGTTTAGCCTCCACAAAATATCGCAATAAATATTGTACAGTGAGTATATTATGAAAATATTGTAACGAGAGATTCGGATTTTGTTGCATCCCTAATCGTGAGCTTTCCCATGATATCGCAATAAATATCGTACCATGAGGTTCATAGCGTGACGATATTGTATCATCAGACTCACATGCCTATTAAACAAAAAATAAATAATAAGAATATAATGATTCACAAATCTTCTTTTAAATGCAACTTTATAGAGAACCTGCAGTCACGTGACCATTTTTGTTTTGGCCGCCATATTGACGATCCCGACAAACTAGCATTCTAATAACATGGCTTGTCTGTGGTCGGGTCATATATTTCCCGATTTACGGCAGCCAGTGCGCGAAATTATTAACCCATCACACCTCATAAAAAGCCTCAATGCAAACCCGGACAGGGACAGCCCAATGTTCCCGATGTTCCTCCAATTGCAAAAGGTTTCAATGGTCAAGTTCATCAAGTTATCACCATAGACTCAAAACAGCAGCATGTAGAACTTTGTACGCAACTCACCGCACATTAGCCTGGAGCAGTTCGGGCAACAGCAGCAGACTCTAGTTTGGCCTTTTTTCACATTTGAGTCTGTATTGCTCAACAATTCAGAGATGAGGACCCCCAAATATTAATGGGTATTTCGCACACTGACAGCAACTAAACTTGTCTCATTTGTCAGCTTCGACCGGCATCCGATACAACTGAACCCATGTGTCTTTATCTCCCTGCTGATTACAGCTCTATGCGCAAAGGTTTTCCGGCATGTGTCTTAATGCGAAAATTAAAGGAACGGCTCAAAAATGTGCTAACTTTACAATACCGGTCTATTGGTGGTCTGGCTCGCTGGGCCGCCGTTGGATCACGCCAAGGCCGTGACGTCACATGCACGGTCTCTATACTCAAATACAAACACTTTTTTCCCACCCACTCCTTTTGAGTGACAGGTGGATTTAACTAATTACAGTTAAGTGTGAGCTTTCTGAGCAAGATTACTTTGTTTCAAGGCAATATAAAGATATCGTGATAAAACTGAAATGCCTTCTCAATAAAACAAAGAAAACAAAAACACAGTCATATCTGATTTATCTTATCCGACTCAACCCCTATACTTTGATAAAACACATTACAATAGTTAACGTGTCTTTGCTTTTGATGGGTCATATTAAAAATATAGTCCAAATTTAAAGATTTTATGGTAAATTGTCACATTTCTATAAAGATTTCTTCTACCTTCAAAGCACTCAAAGCCCTTTACAACAAGGGACCACTCACCCATTCACACACACTTTTATACACCAGTGTATGCAGACACCGGGGGCGAGGTGGGTTAAGTGTTTTGTCCAAGGTCACGAAATTATTCATCTGCCACTCAACCGATGATGTTTCTGTCGGGAGCGGGATTTGAACCTTCAACTCCACCAAGATACCACAGAAATCATGAACAAGAACCACTGATCCGAAGGTTGGTCATTCGAATCCCGAAAAGCACTATATTAAAATGTGACAATTACCATTTTATCAAAACCCTGATGAAGATGAGTGGAGGTTGAAACAAGCTGGCTTTGGGCAGTTACATAAAGCCCTTTTCGTGTGACTTACTTTTTTTTGGAATGCCTGGATTTAGTATTTTTTTTCTCTACATATAAAATAGATATCCATAGTTACTGACCCCATTGGAACGGCTGACGGCCTGGAAGTAGATGCTGTAGCTCTTGGCTGGAGACAGCGGTGGGTTCCAGAAGCCTCCGTAGCTCTTGTTGTCCCCCACAGTGAAGGGCTGTACCATCGTGAGGCTGGAGGGGGGCAGCTCAGCGGCCATGTAGTAGGAAGAGTCCAAGATGGAGGCGTTTCGGAAACTGAAGGGAGCGGAGAAACACTGGGGCTCCTCTGCCGCACGACGACTTTTGGATTTGCGTAGCTCTTTCACCACCAACTGATATGAGCTGTGGGTAGAAGTAAGAGGAGATAAAGAAATGAATTGATGTGTTTATTAAAGATAGTTTATATAATTGTAAACATATAGACTATATAAAAAAAAAAAATCCTGTTGAACAAAAATAAAAACATTTGAAGCTTTATTAAAACTCAAAATCTCTGCAAAATGCTTGTACTTTTTACTCTTTAAGTACATTCTTAAACAGGTACTTTAATACTTTTACTTAAGTAGATGTCATACTTTTACTTTTACTTATTTATTTTTTACTTATACTTACTTTTATTACTTTTTTTTTTGCCTCTGATATCTGCAATTTCACTTAAAGGTGCACTATGTAACTTTTCAGAGTCCGTCACCTTCTTGTTTCTATGGATATGTCATTGTCTGCCAGGAATGTTCCACAGTATGACATTAAACAGCTCTGCTTTACATTTATTCAATTATAAGTGGTTTTATAGCTCAAAAATACCTACAAAAACAGAAATTCTGTCTGAGCGGGGTTGCCTCTCCACACATCTGTGATTAATGCCATACTGTGAAACATTACAGACAAAGCAATAACATCTCCACGGAGAAAAGCAATGCACCTTCAAATAACAAAACTGAACACTTCTTGTACCACTGCTTGGGACTATAGCTGTATTTTGAGCTCAGAATGAAACTGGAAAGGCAGTGTTGTGAGAAGCAGGTGGACGTGTATTTATGGCCCTAAAAGCCTGCCTTTAACAGCACTCTTGTGTCTAATGTGTGTGCACTGCTTCATGACTGGCTGAGGGCTTCTTCAGCGTCGGGACAAAAACAGAGCCCCTCGCAATTACCTCGGTCCTCCACACGCCAACAACTCACTTCACAATTAGACGCAATTAGGGAGATGTATGTTTCTGTGAAGGAGGCCCCGGGCAATTATCCCCAGCTTTCCGTTTGGCAGCTCTCATCAAAGATAATTACTGATCGGCGAAGATGAGTTCTTCGAAAAATATCACTTTCAGACTAATGGATTTTAGAGAGCAGAGCACAGGCCTAATACAAGGAGTCAGTGGGTATTCTCTGCAGAGTTTCAAAGTACATGGCAGTCCTTATGTTTATTCAATTATGTGTTATGAAAGCTGTATATACGTAAATCCATCATGTAATAAAGTAAAAATAGTCTTGAACCAGTACAGATACTGTACTGTAGATACTGTACAGACTAGAAAATGCACTTAAAATTGTTTAATTTTCTAAAATCGACAGTGCGCCTTATGTATTAATTCTGGTTGTGCTTATTGACCTCAAACTGATTTTATGTGATTCATGGCACTCACAAATCTGTCAAAATGTTTTAGTACGACTTTGGTAAATTACGAAGCCGCACTGCTTGATGGATTGTTGGAGCATTACAGCTACTGTAGCCAGGAGTAAGTTGTGTCCTACTGATGCGGTCAGAAGCTGACGGCATCAGTGCACAAGAAGCAAGCTGCTTCTTTTCAGCACTTATAGCTTATGCAAATTAGCCATGTGGTTTTAAGTTTTGCTTATGTAAAACGTAAACAAATGTGCGCAAAGCTGCATTAAACACATTATTACTCAATGTATATTTGAGTTCTCCTCGTAGGAAATAAAAAAATCAAACTTAAATTATCCACCCACATTCACATTCATAATACACATTCACCAAGACAGGGAGGAATCGCCAGGCGAATTATCTGCCAATCTGCCAATGGAGCATGCCTGGGCTAAGGGATCAGTCTCAAGTGTCGTCCATTTGTTTTGTTTAATGCCCCTTATAATCCGGTGCACCTTGTGTATGAAAATAGACGAGAGAATTCAACATTATTGCTATTGCACCTGATAATCCCGTGTGCCTTACAGTCCGAAAAATACGGTATATGCTTGTAGCAAGTATCAAAACCAGACACTCTTCAATACTAAAATTTGAATAGAAAATTTAACTCATTTGGGCAAGTATCAATATTTTAAAAATTGTAAAAATGAACCTTTCCTGAATAGTTAAATGTGATAAATGTATCAGAACAAGTATAAAACCACAGAGGCTTGTATACACCCATGGACCGCTATGGAACCTGGACAACAGATATAAGGACACATGGTAATATAAAAGAAAGTACAACAATTTAAATAAAGCTTGTTTTTATTATCATCATGGAATCAGTATTGAGTAGCCTATCAAGTCTATTCCTTAGTATCGAAATTGAGGTTGAAATTTTAGTATCATTAAACAGATATACTGTAAAAGCAGCTCTTAGGGTCAAAATGAGACATGTTCTGGCTGCATCAATTATCAAAAAACACTAGCCACAAACAGGAAGAGCACTGTTAGCATGCTTCTTGTTGTTTGCATTTCTGTAACAGCAAAACTCAGCTCTGGTGACTGAAATTTTAACTTGCAAACTCATCCCGGTGAATAATTCGTATGCCCGGCCAATGTAAGTTTCTGGTTGTGGGTCCATCACCTGCTTCTTGGAATGTTCCACAGTATGGCATTAAACAGCTCTACCTACAATTACATGTGGTTTTACAGCTCAAAAACACTTAGATAAACAGGCATTCTGTCTGTGAGCGGGGCCGCCTCTCCACAGATCTAAGTTATAACTTGGTCTGGTTACATCTCCATGAAGGGAGAAAGGTTAAATGCCATAGTGTGGAGCTTTCCAGACAATGCAATGACGGATCCTCCACCAGAAAAGGTACACAATGTACCTTTAAAGTTCCACAGCATTTTGGGAGTAGTCAAATATCCACCCCCCTCTGCTTTCCTTTGCTGTATATAACTTTGGAGCAGAGTTGTGCAGGTAAACACAGTGGTATTATGGGATTTACAGTAGACCACTAAAGCTCAGAACCCACTCTCACATTTCACAGATCTATTTCCCTGAGTCCACCTTTTAATTAAAAGGCGTGCCAGAGAAGAAAATTAGAAAAGGGAGCTGCGGTGGACTTGGCTGTGAAAAGAGTAGGTAAAGAAACTCACAATGGAATGGATAATAGATACAAAGTGTACAAAGTCTCACCTTATGGGAGCGCCTCTGGACTGGGCAGGCTTCAGTAAAATGGTGATGGTGGTCTCCGTTTCGTTCAGTGGTGTTTCAGACTCGTACTCAGGCATCATGGGAGCTGTAGTTTGGGCAATAGAGAATAAGTGGTCATTATTAAACTCTTTTTACAGTTTTAACAACACTCACTACACAGACTGTACTCAGAGGGGGAAAGAACACTTGGGTTGGTGTGATATGACCAAAGGTGGAGTTGTCCCACTTTCAAAATTTTGTCAAAATATTACGTCAAAAGTATTGAAAATCTAGATACTAAACTAGCGTCAGAACTACATATTCATTTGAGCAGGTATCGATCCTAAAAAAGTCAGTACAAAAATGGACAAGCACAAAAATTTACCTTTCCTTCATAGCTTCAGAATGATTTTGAGTTTTATAACAACAAGTATAAGAGCACATGGACTAGTATAAGCCCACAGACCACTATGGAACCTAACTGGACCACTGAGGGCTTACACAGGATGGTAATATAAAAGAAAGTACTATGATTTAATGTTGAAAATTACATTCTATTAGATAAAAGTTAGTTTTTTTGTTTTTATAATTGTTGTATTGGAATCATTGGCGGTGCTAGCAATTTGGAGGCCCTAGGCGAACTTGAGACTGGGGTCCTCACTATAATCCACTGTTTTGTTTTGTTTTTTTTGAGGGGTGTGGGAGGGGTATTTATTTTCATTTTTTTAATATATGAATTATCTTTATCAATTTTTTTTTTCCCCATTGTTCATGAGATCTTTTTTTTGAATTGGATTGAAAACTTGTCTTATTAGTTCAATCGCCTACTAGATAACCAGAGCTGAAAGTAGTTTTATTTTTTTGCTAGTACAAATACATTTTTGTTTACATCCATTACATATGATTATCATTATGCTGTGATTATGTTCAAATCAGGGTCAAGGTGATTCGTCCATTCTAACGTGCTTTGACAGTTAAAATAGATTTGATGATTAGATACTATTTTGATGGTGTTTTCTTGTTTAAAAGTAAAATACTCTCATTTAATGTTATATTGAGAGAAAATCAAATTGCTCTGAGGTCTCGGCCATTAGTGGTGCTGAGGGCAATTGGTTGGGGGGCCCCTCAAGGTTTGGGGGGCCCTGGGCGGCTGCCTACTGTTGCGTAATGGTAGCGCCGCCTCTGATTGGCATCTGTATTGCAAATCAAATCTATTCCTTAGTAAACTGAGTTTGAATAATGCCACTAAACCTCTGCCTAGCTAATAGAAAGCATTAATACAACAAAGATATCTAACAAAAGTTTTGCTGATTGTTTAAAAATAGTGCCCCATCGTAAACATTATCAAAAGACCTTCATTTACATTTCAAATCTGGAAGTCTGATTGTGTTTATGACGGCTGTGACATTTCCAACAGAAAAGTCCTTGAGATGTGAAAATGGACGCTCAGTGGACAAAGAGACAGAGAGAGAAAGGAGGTGAGTGACAAGTCTGACCCTCCCTGCTCTTATTGTCACTTTGGACAAACAAACTAAACAATCAGAGGCTGGTGTTTTTTTTTAAATGCAGCCTGTGGTGAGAGATACGAGCCCACAGACATAACGGTACCTGCGATCTTGGTGGTGATCCTGGAGGTGACTGGGGGTCCGAAGCCTTTGTTGGTGGAGGCTTTGAGGGTGAAGAAGTAGGTGGTCCCGGGAAACAGCCCCACAAAGAGATGCTGGGTTTCATTTTGTAGTTTGAAGACTCTGCCTCTCTGCGTGCTCAGGTCAGCGCTGGGGTCCCACGAGCTCAGGGCTTTGTACGTGATCTGCCAGCATCACAGAGAAACAGACAGGTTTTAATGCCATACTGTGAAATATTCCAGAAAAAGCAATAACACCTCCATGGAGAAAAGCATTTGACGGACCCTCCACCAGAAAAGTTACACAATGCAAATTTAGTACAGAAAACATTAGGACAAGCTTGAGAATAGCCTCTGGGCACAGCAGCATGCCAACTAGCTCACTGTGTCTCACTTTTATTAAAATCAAATTTATTTATTTATTTCAGGGACAGTGCATATTAACATTAACATTTCTGCAAGTACGCCAGACTTGGCAAGACAGCAACTTTTTCACCTGTAGTCCCGTGTAAGATGTTAATGTCCACTTAAAACCAAAAAAAAAATCGAATGTAACAGTACACAATAGGCTAATATTCTTATTCTTATATTCTTATTCTTTCTCTTCTTTCTCTTGAAATATGGTGACTGATGTTTTCTAAAATATTATTGATGAAAAGTTTAAGTTGTCATTTTGCATTTGATTTAATATTGCCACGGTCTTTGTAAAAATGGTAACACAAGGCATGTCACTCAAACCACTTTACATCAAGAAATAACTCGCCCATTCATTCACACATTCATACAACTGTGTACACAAACCTTGGAGGGGAGTGGCATTAAGTGTCTTGCCCAAGGACAAAGACAGTATTCATCTGTGGTAGCTGGAAGCACACCGCTAACCTGGATGTTAATAGATCTGATCATTAGGGCTGGGTTTCATTAAGAAGTTGCCAATACAATACATACCTTGATACATAGGCCACGAAACAATACGCATCTTGATACACTGAGCTTTTAGTTTGATAAGACATATTTCAAATCGATTCGATACAGCTCAATAAAAAATAATGGCTAAATCATTTCTTGTGCAAAGTTAAAATGAAAACACAAACATTTTACTCATTAGAAATGTCAAATGTGTCTCAAAAACGAGTTTCCTTCAACAACAAAAGCAACAAAACTGTAGCGCTGAAACAAAATAATTTTGTAAAATATAACAAAAATACTCTTGGCGATATATTGATACAGCAGCCCACGATATCAATACTGTATCATCACATCAAACTACACAATATATCGACATTTCAGTATTTTTCCACACCCCTACTGACCATCCTCTGACGTTTATACTGAGAGCAGGATTCAAATCAGAGGATTAGCCAATTACCGGCCCAGTTATGAAAGTTTTTTGATACAGTATGTGTTTCAGAGTTAGTGTAAGTAGTCCAGAAAACAATAACGCTTATCAGAATATCATTATAAATATTTCACTAACTGAGTATTCATGGTTATGATTCATTGTAGCTCTACTTGACTCTAGGGTAAACACCAATATCCGAATCCTCTGAGCTACATTCACACCGTCCCACTCCACACTATGAGCTCATCTCTTTCCTCTTCTTCAAATAGAAAAATGAGCGGAAAAAATCTCAAACATCACTGCTATTCACTGCTCCGCCCTCACCAGTCTTTTCAAAGCACCGTCATTCAAGTTTGCGGAGACTCAAACACCGTGCGCTGCATTACCACACATATTGACAGTCCAAATATTGAAGTTTTCATATGAATGGATTTGGGATTGAGAGGGTTTGCTCAGCTGTCAAAGCCCGGCTCATGGGAGACACAGACCTGGAGCTCTCATATTGATCAGTGCAGAGCTGAACTGACAGAGGCCCGGTGTGTGTGAAGCTGTGGTGATGTGACCACTCCAAACCTTGACCTTCTACAACACAATAGAGGAGCAGAGGAGTCCCGTGGCTAATGGGAATCGATGCTAAAAGGTTTTGGTGGTGTCAAAGAAATATAAAAATAAACAGCCAAATAATAAGTTATATTATCTGTGACATTTGAAAAAGCGAACAGTGTTTTTTTGTGCACTAAGACACAAACTTCTGCTGTTATGGTCAGATTGCGTAGGGAATAGGGATTAAGTTTTTCCCATCACTTTCCTACCACTTTGGCTCATTCCAAGAAGAGCAAACAATTGATACTTGGCAGCTGATGTAGTGTAATGCTATCAAGACGCACTGCTCTGTCTGAAGCTCTATTATGAAAGTTGGACCTTTTGGCTGAAAATCAAACACCTAAACAGGATCATGAACTAAGACTGAACAATCTATCGTTTTGGACAGAAAATCGCAATCTCAGACAACACGATTTTGGGAGCGTTAAAGCTGTGTTCTTTTGCAGTGCTCCTAAAGCCCAATTTTAAGGGCGAAGTATAGTTCTGTGTCGACTCAACACACACTGCCATCGTAGCCTTGTCGCCGTTGTTTTTGATTTAAGGGTCAGCGTAATTCACCACGACAACACGAGGAGGCGAGGATTTAAACTTGGCATTCATGTAAAGTTTAATATGAACCATCTCCAACACAAAAGAGGCACAGAACAATCCTCTGTCACAGAAAGAACACTGATATTCCACTGAGTCATGTCCTTTAGTCCGATAGAAGTTGACCGCATCAGAAGCACAAGGAACAAGCTTTTTTTTGTTAGTTTTTTTTTCAGCACTTATAGTTTATGCAAATTAGCCATGTGGTTTTAAGTTTTGTTTCTGTAAAACGTAAACAAATGTGCGCAAATGGTCCAGTGCCAGTGTCAAATCACCGGTGCAGGACTCTGGTATGATGTAAGTTTCTGTGATGTTTACAAATGTTCATATGCACTAAAAAAAATCGTGGATGAAATCGAAATCGCAATATCTGCCAGAAAAATCGCAATTCAGTTTTTTCTTAAAATCGTTCAGTCCTACCATGAGCCCTCGTATTGATCACAAGTTCCTGAAAATGTGCTGTTTAAATCAATTTTGTACTTTTTCATTTTTAGTTTATAGTTTTAGTTTATAGGCCAGCCTAATGTCTGATAGTGTTTGCTGAAGTGGTATTGTGTTACCATGGTAACTGATAAATTTTTCAGTATATAGACATACATGTAGAACAACCCCAGAGTGATCAATACAGTATCAATATTGAAAGGTATGCAAAACTTACAGGTTATTTTTATTACCAGGTTGTCCATGTGTCATTCAGTCACCATGGGGCTCATTCGTAAAATATGCATACATACAAAAAATTTAAGTTTGCGATGAATAAAAAGAAAACTTAACATAAAAAAATAAATAAATAAAAAAAATGTTGCACAGGTCAGAGCTTAGAGAAACAAGATGTGAAGAAGTTCATCTTTTGTTTGTAAGTACACTTTTATAAAAATTCCATGTATTTATAAATGAGACCACAAGGCCAGGTATTGTCAGAAAAAAAGTACTTATTTTGTATTTACTATGATTCAGTCCACAATATCTGTTTGTATTGTTTTGTACAAATATTAGATGTGGTTTTGCATTTTCATATTAGCCTCAATTGCGCAGTCTGATTGGAGCAATGGAGTCTTTTGTTCAACATTATCTCTGCTCTATTTCTGACAATAGAAAAAGGACGGTGCAGTATCTCCTCCTCCACCATTCTCCTGAGTATGTTTATCTAAATGGAACAATAGCATGGCCTTCCGTTTTCCGCTCTATATTCAGAGATTCTCCACAACTTGCATTCCTGAATCATTTCTTAGCCATTCAGGGAAATTCATGACACACAGTGAAGATATTAAGCTATTGTGTCAGGTTTTTTTTTTCCTTTTCATTTTAGCATACATCTTTTGACAATGGAAACTTTCAATTTCTGTGTTTTTTTTTTCCCCTCATGTCCCTCTGAATGTGACATTAAAAGCTGATTTTACTGTGTTATCTGATTTTTTGTATTAAAAACATGAAAAAACAGAAAAAGGTTGCATCAGTTCAAAGTTATTCCTCACTTTCCTAATGCATCCCCAGCATCCTGATTATTCCCTGCAATGAGTTTATGAGCCTTTTCACGAGACCATCCTCATAATGCTAATAACAGCTAGCATGCCAATAGTGCACTCCCTGGTTCTTGGACAAATAATAAATCCTTTTACAATACTGTGGCTAGGGGTGTCCAAAAATATCAAAATAGCTATATATATCATATCGTTTAATGTGATGATACACTATTGGTATCATGAGCTGCTGTATCGATGTATCGCCAAGAATATTTTTTGATGTATTTTACAAAAATATTTTGTTACAGAGCTACAGTTTTGTTGCTTGTTTAGTGGAAGGAAACTCATTTATGTAACACATTTGACATTTCACAGTTTTGAGGGTTAAAATGGGTGTGCTTCATATTCAGTTTGCACAAGAAGTGGTTTAACAAAAATCACAGCCATGATTAAGCTTTTGTTTTTATTGAACCATATCAAATTGATTTGAAATATATCGTATCGAACCGAAAGTACACTGTATCGAGATATGCATCATATTGTAGCCTATGTATTAAGATATATCGTAGTCTATGTATTAAGATATGTACCATATCGTAGTCTATGTATTGAGGTATGTAACGTATCGTAGCCTATGTATAGAGACATCGTATTGTATCGTAGTCTGTGTATCGAAATATGCATCATATCATCATCATATCGGCAACTTCTTAATGATACACAGCCCTAACTGTGGCAGAACGACAGTTTTGATCAACTATATGGACAGACCATAATTTAAGATCCATTCATTTTAAAAGGTCTACATTATTCTATTTTCTGATCTGTGTTATAATGTATAATGTTTTTAGTCATCAAAAACAAACCTGGACTTGTGTTTTGTTTCATTCACACAGTTTGCATATTTAGGCTGAGTTCTTTTCTCAAACACAAAAAACACTCCGTTCCACTTTGTGATGTCATGTGATAAAACAGGAAGTGCTCCGATGCCTTATTGTGTATACTCCATGCAGCTTCACTAGATTCATTTGGATAATTTCAGAGCTGGAACTGCCAATCTCTACCAAACTAAAAGTAAACTTCATGACATCACAAGGTGGAAAAGCACATTTTGAGCTTTGGAGATGCAGACAGACTAATAATGCAGGATTCCAGCGATGTTTTTGATGAGGTAACAACATTCTAACATG